CCCAATGGAACTGACACCATGGTCCATCCACATGAACCCTCTCAAAATCAACTTCATTAAAGAATTGAAATAAAAATCTACGATCACCAATCTCTCGTATATTAACCCGTCCGCTCGGATGCCAAGCATCAACCATAGCATCACGAAAAACTGAAATTTAACTGACTTATCAGAAAGGAGTCTACCAACCATGCATAAAGGAACGATAGCTGGCGAATCCCCGACTATGACATCATCCAACTCAAATCCTTCCTCATCATCGTCCTCAAGACTCATGCGAGCGTACATGTCCTCCATCTCATGAGCCATGCAAGCGATCAACAATCCAAAGCCTAGTCAAAGCCTCTGGGAAGAAGAAGATGGCGAGAAAACAACGGCCAAACCCTAGACGGCTAAGGAGAGAAACTTTCGATCCTTAGTACTGACATACTGTAGTTTTTTATTTTTGGAGTTCTTCATCATATTATTAAGAAACCACTCATCATCATCATCATCATCATATCTTATACTCTGTATTTTTTATGTTATCCTTCAAGGCTCAAGCCCCTCAGGCAAATGGGCATGGGACCTTGTAAGTAATGGCGCGAGCATCTCCAATGCTTGCTTCTAGAGACTTGCTTATAATTTTGAAGCTAATAGCCTACCATTGGAAAACATATTTCCTTCTAGCTTGACCAAGTAAATTAGCCAGAATAAGTTATTTTCTAGAAAGGAGAGAATTTTGTATTAAAATGGTAATTACCAAATTTGAATTGATATTGTTTAATTTAGTATATTTGTTTAATTTAATGATATTGCTTTGTTGATTTTAAAAAATGTTTAATTTGTTCATGAAATATTTGAAGTTGATTTTTTTCAGTATGCATGTGATGTTAAAATTTCTTATTCCTTATTTTTTTACTTAACAAAATACATATTTTTGTACTAATTTTAACAATAAGCATTTAAAATCATGCTTGTTATAATAATATAATAACACTGATAATTTATGAGTTTTAAAATGTCATTTACATTTTCTCAATTTGAAAATATTTCAAAATAAGTATTATTCTTATTATATTAATAAATCAATTCATTCAAAATGTATATTATCAAAATTGATTGATTTGTGGGGCAGGGGCGGAGCCAGGGCATTGGGCCGCATTGGGCCAGTACAAAGAATATTTTTGAATTTTTTTTTACACATAATTTTTTACACTAAAAATACAAGCTTTTTTAAAATTCAGGCTGGACCAGGGCCAGGGATGGCCCTCCCCCAGCTCCGCCCATGTTGTGGGGCCTATTCAAGTAGCAAGCATTGTGGCTAACCATTGGACTATCATGTTGCTGAAAAATGAATTAGCTAGAAAAAGCTGATGTAGCTAGCAAAATTATAATGTGTTTAGCTAGCCATTGTATATGCTCTTACGACACCTAACCTTTTGGGTTTTGAATCGGACAAAAACCTTAAAATTTTACACAAAATGCTAATAAATGAAAAGTATGAAAACAAATAGTTTTACTAAAACTATGATGGGCCTAACGGTAGGAGGTATTTGGGTTGGGCCCAACGGCATGAGGAATTTGGGCCCATAATTTCTCCTAAATACAGACAAAGATATATTACCCTCATTCTTTTTTAGTTGAAACATTGGTGAGTTTTGCACTATTCACATACTCTACTTTGATTACATTTTATCACTTAATATATTATAAATTATTTTTTTGAAATATATCATTGAATTTCTCTCATTTTAAAATTGCAAAATATTAAAATTTTAATTTTTTTACTAATAAGAAATGAAATATATTAGTGGTCAAACTTGTGCGTTAATAAACGTGGACTGTTGCAACTAAAAAAGGTGATGAAGTACGACACACAAAAAGAGAATATTTTATCGACGGGCATACCACACTTTTCGGTACACCTGGCGGAGGCATAGGGAGACTTAGCTTCTAGGGGTAAACTCCATTGTACAGCCGGCTGTACCATGCCCAGGGCATGGTACAGCCGGGTGTTTTTTGTAATTAATTTCAACTTTGAGGTCAATACATATGTTAGTGATGGTTCGTTTTTCCACTGGGCGCTGATCGTTGATGTGGTTTCCGACTTTCCCCCGTATGCAGCGAACAAGAACTCCCTGGGCGTTGCTAACTTGCTAACATTATCGTTGCTGTGGTTTTCTTAATCCTTTTTTTTTGCTTTTTAATTGTTTGTTCTCTTTCGTTTTTTTCAGTTATTAATTTTAATTTTATAATTCAATTATTATGAAAATGTAGAATATGAAATATTATAAAAAAATATTATTAAATGTCCCAGTTTTTTTCTTTTTCGAATCAAACTTCTAACTTATTTGTTTTATTTCTATATTAGAATAGATTTTAGGCATTAATGTTTTACTTTTCTATTTTTAATTTAAAATGAATATTTATTAGTTTATTAATTAAATATTATGTGTTAATTACTAACATGAGTTTTGAGATATACTAAAATGATTATAGTGAAAAATAAATATGCATGGGTAAACTTTATAAGAAGAACTCAATCCCAATTATATTTGTAATTCGAGAACGAAAGACTATATATTATTTTTAATATAAAATTACTATATTTGTGATTATATGTGCACAAATGAGTATTTGGACACATTAAAGAATTCAAATGAGATTTTGAAATTTTTATGTTCATTTTGTTAAATTACGTATGTTCATCTGGTACTAGTTTTATACTCATTTTAAAATGTCATATTAATGCATATTTCAAAAGTATCATATTAGATTCGTATAAGAGTTGGATTATATATATTTGAGCAGAGATCATGATACTCAATTGCGGGCTTCTGATACTCAATAAAGGATATTTGATGTTCAATAAGATGTTTTGATACTCGACTAACAAAGTTATGATTTTCATATCATTGCTCATTTAATAAGTAATGTATGCTCATTTCATACTAACATTATTCTCATTTAAAAATGTTATATCTATGCATATTTCAAAAGTATCATATTACATTAGATTCATGTAAAAGTATATTACATGTTTCTAATACTCAATAGAAGATGTATGATGCTCAATGAAAATGTCTTGATATTCAACTACAAATACTTATAATTTTCATTACAATGCTCATTTTATAAATTATTTATGCTCAACAGGTACTCATGTTATGCTCATTTTTAAAATGTCATATCAATGCATATTTTAAAACTACTATATTACATTAGATTCCCATGAGATCGAGTTGATTATAGACACGAGAGTAGAGATTATGATACTCAATTGCATGCTTCTAATACTCAATAGGAAAAGTTTGATGCTCAGTGAAAATATCTTGATGATCAACTAACAAAGCTTATTATTTTCATATCAATGCTCATTTTGAAAGTTATTTATGCTCATTTCGTATTGGTGCTATGCTCATTTTAAGATGTCATACCAATGTTTATTTTAAAATTATCATATGACATTAGATTCACATATTGAAATTCATAGGAATTGATTATAAATTTAATTTAATGAGTTTTTATAAAAGAAAAAATAAGAAAAAGAAAGTGAATTACCATATATCAAATTGATATCACATTACTCATTATTCGACTCTGAATGCTCAATAGAATACGTTCGATGCTCATTAGAAGTCTATTAATACTCATCTATCGAAAACCGCGATTTTTACTGATATTACGAAAATGCCACCATTTTTTAGTTATGATATTAAATTTCATGTACTAGCACGGTGCTCATTAAAATTGGACCATTATTCATTAACAGTACACTAATGCTCATTTAGCAGAAATCACGATTTTTACATTAATTACAAAAATGCTACCGAATTATTTTGCTGTTTTTTCCTTGGGCCTATTAGTTTCCTTGTTGGGTCGGTTGTACGGTGCTCACCGTATAGCATGATGTATAGTATACGAACTCACTTCTAGGAGGAGGGATATCAATACATGTTCTCTTGTTAAATCCTCAATCTCCGGCTACCCAAAAGTCAAATTACCCAGAACACCAAGTTATATGTGTTTTCTTGTTATATCCCCAATCTCCGGCCACTCCTAAAGTCAAATTACCCTGAACACCAAATTATATATGTTTTCTTTTTAAACCCCCTAATCTCTGGCTACCTATGAAGTCAAATTACCATGAACACCAAGTTTACGATCAACATGTTTTTTAGTATGACATGAACATAGTTCAAGAATGGACAAAAATAATAATTAATAGTTCATAATTACCTTTGTGTGTAGTACGAGTATGGGACATCCAAATTCTCAACAAAATAAAATACTAAAGGGAATCAATCGTTCATAATACAAATGATACGATGTTTTGTCTAATGATGCCTAATTACCTCGCCTCATCAGTCATCACCACTCGCTACTCAAACTTGCATACATCATTTCCTTCTTCTAATTCCCAATCCCAAGGCTCCCCAAACCGCGACCTTACAAGGCATTTGGGAGGTTGTAAGTCACGGTGACTCAGCCAGCACAACGGTGGTAAACTTTATACCTGGGCGCACTAGAGGTCCAGCCAAGCACGCAGGAGCAGTAACCTTCACACGGTCACTGCGGGTTTCGATCCTTGGTCATTCTTCCAATTTTTTACCACTCAACCAACTAAGCTACCCATGCGGGTTGCATACATCATTTCCTTAAGGTACAAACTCGGGCCTGGTTGAAATACCTCATGGCGGAGTTGTCATTTACTCGTCGAAGAAACAGAGGACATTGATCGTAGGTAATGAGCCGATAAGCTTTGATCATACTACAAAGGAAAGAAAATATACGTAATGTAGTCGTATATTTCTTGTCTAAATGATAAGATATACGATAGTACTACTTCCGTTCCACTAATATATGTAATCCGCCTACTTTTTTTTTGAAAGAATCTTGTGTCTACTTATTATATTTATGCAAAAATATTAATAAAATTATAATTTTTATATCTTCGAGTAGTCCTCGCTTAGGCGCTCGACGCTGAGCTTTCTCCCGGCCAGCGCCTTACGAGTTACGCCTTTTAGAACATTGCGTATAGTATATATTTTTCTGATCTGTGATAAAAGTATAAAACATTCATGAACAAGAAAGAGATACCCCAATCTAAACCCTCTAAACTTCAAAAAAATGTTGGCCTTTGTAAATACACTCCACAAGTCCCAATGGTTGATAGGTTAGCATCCAAATGCAACCTGCTAATCAGCACTCAATAATAGCAGGAAATCAATTGTACATAATCCCACAAATTTCTGTACACACTTTTCTCCTCCATTCGTAAAGCCAATAAGCAATTCTTCTCAGTGCACGAGCACCTTCATTGCATGTAGTCCCAACTAGGAAGGTTGGCAGTAGCTTCATTTATCATCTTTATGAGAGTCACCTACACGTATACGGAGTATTTTTTAAAAATCACTCATATATTAACTGTCCCTTAGATATTTCACAGTTGTTAAGAAAAATAATAATAGAGGTAATACAAAGAAAATAATAATAGAGGTAATACAGAGGGTAAATGAAAAAGTATGAAATAAAGTATACGTAGTATTAAAAAGAAGAAATTAATGAAAAAATAGAAAAAAGAAAATAGTTTGTAAAAAGTTAAAAAGGTAAGAGTACTAAAATTATAAAAGTGAGATTATAAAGAGTTTGATAGGAGAAACTGAGAAAGTTACTGAAAGGGTAAAAGACAAACAATAAAAATATCCCAAAAAGAAACACTCCATATAAGACAATTAATAAACAACACAGGCAATATGAGTGAGTATCAAAAACTAAAATTGAATAACAAAAAATCTTCAATTGACATTTTCCTTCAAGCCCCAGGATAGGTTGGATGGATCCCGGTCACAAGCGTAGGCAGAAGCAAATGTTAGGGTATACTTGTATATATAATTTTCTTAGATATTTTTTTAAAATAAATATTTACACATAAATATAATCGCTTTTCAAATTTGGAGTGGTCCGGGGCCATCAGGCCCCTACCTTCGCCCCTGCTTGTGGGGCGTATCAGGATGACTAACTTCTTAACTTTGAAGTAGGCCGGGAAAAATAACATTTCGTACAAACCTTTACACAATTTTTTACATGTTTAAATTGGGGTGGGCAGAATTTAGGTTGTCCCTTAACTAGGCGTCTATAATGGCACCATTTATAAACGAACGAGTAAAAGAGAGTATAATGTCAAACGGGCATACCACACTTTCTGGTACTCCCGGGGGAGGCAAAGGGAGATCTCTAGGAGGAGTTATATTGAGATATGTTCTCTTGTTAAATCCCCAATCTCCAGCGACCCCAAAAGTTAGCTTTCCCTGAAGGCAGTGTTTCTTATCATCAACATCATTGTATATTAACACGGTTTAAGAACAAATAAAGTAGTTCTTAATTACCTTTGTGTAGTCCAACTGATATGTAAAGTGCAAAATGAAGCTGTTTCCCATTTTCAGATCCCATGGAGGCTGAAATATGACAACTTGCTTGTAAAAATTATATAACTAACATATAGGCCCTTTTGTGAAGGTTATTTGGGTAAACAGAGCCATGCTGTTTTGCTAGCTAGTAGAGAAAGCATCAAAACCTGAATCATAAAATCTTCCCGGAGTAGATGTCGCACACCGTGCATAGCAGAAGCAATAGCATATGCATACCTAGCTTATCATTGGATGTTTATAGTTAGTAAATTAGACCGTATTTATTTGTTTGTTTGTGTATTTATTTCTCAAACACACAACATAATTAAGATCTAATCATAGGATACGAAATAAATTGTTAAATAGTACTTCCTTGGTATCTAATTAGTTGTCCCGTTTGCTTTTCACGAAGTTTAAGACAATTATTGTGGACTTTATAAAAAGTAAAGAGTTTTTTGTATTGTAACAGTACTATAGTAGTATTGTAGCTGCTTTTTGAGTGAGTTTCTTTCCAAAAAAAGAAATGAGACAATTAACTTGATACACCCAAAAAGGAAAGTGAAATATGAAGAGAGTATTTGCTACACTCACATTTCCTGTACCCAGCCAAGAGCTTTATCAGCCTCCTGATCGTATTTGATTCTTAGAGACATATTTAGCCAAGTTGGTGTGATTTTCTTGAGCAAATCCTACACAACAACTCATTTATTAGGATGTTTTTAGTTGGATTGATTTCAATATGGACTAAATTAGCCCAGATCAAACCATATCAAAACTTACTTGAACAATAATAATATACATATAGAACAAATCATTACCAGACCAAACTTAAATATACAGTATGAGACAAGAAAATATAAGTACAAGAGATCAGTACAGACCAATAGTGTTTACCTTCTGAATAATTACAGGGGAATTCCCAATTGGATCAATATCTGTCAAGGGACCTTTTTCTTCGGGATAAAACTTCCTTATGATTCTTTCATGTTTGGAAGGTTTAATGTAGAAAAATGGAAATCCAACTGGAAGCTCCCCGGAAACTAAATTAGGCAGTGGCCTTGTGAAAATGTGGTCCGGCTCTGCCATTAATATGTATCTGCACACAGCATAGGCAATGATAAGGATTTAAATTTTAATAACTACTACGTATCATAAAATGATTAAAAATAATAATTCATCGCAATTTAATAACTCAAAACTTTAGAATTACTTAATTTAAGCATCTAATTTTTTAAGCTCTATTTGATACTCATTTAGATTATGGTAAATGTTATGTTAGACGAATAAATATGCTAAAAGCTGTCATTTAATCATTAATAAATAAGTCTAACTCACCAAAGTTCAAATAAATACTCGTATGTTATACACGTTTCTTACATTTCGCCAACATACACAATTTATCTAAAATGTAGAAGTTTTGGAAGTTGTTTGTGCACACCCACAAAATGTACTAAACGTCTACATAAAACGTATACACTAATAGTTGTTCATAAAAGCATTTGGGCTTGATGACTCACATCCCTGACTAAATGATTGTGTAACTCATCAAAAGAGTGGTCAATAGGTGCAGTTTATATCACATTTGTATATTAAATCTTGAATAAATGAGCTCTAGGAACCTTGTTGTGTGCTACTGGTTCTTCAAAACTCACATTCTAAGTTTTAGCCTTGTCCAAATTGTCAGGTTATGTGGGAAGCAAATAAATGGGAGGAGTGGAAAAACCTAGAATATATTTGTACTTTCATTTTAAGAACTCTTATCATTTTCCTTGTATTTGGTGTCGAAATTAGTTTTTTGAACAGTTTTCCCTAGCATTGTGTTTTTGGATAGTAAGTTTGAAGCTCACAGCTTATGCTTTGGTCTCTATGCAAGCACGGTTACTGGAATATGTACATTTGTTTTGAAGGTTTTTCTCTACTAGCAAAAAAAATTGATATAGGTACAATGAGCATTTCATGTGCTAAACTTAACACTAATGCTACCAAGGCCTAACAATGGTTCTTGTAGTTGATGTGAAAAATTGGATTTTAGCTCTAACAACAAAACTATATGAAGAATAGTAAACAATAGAAAGGTACATTACTCTTCATCAATAGTAGCAACCTCGATCCATTGCATAAACGCCCACGGTCTATTAAGAACCACATAATTCTGAAGCAGGCATAAAACAAGGATTATTCGTGTCACGAATATGTACTTGATTAAATAAATAGTCTAGTACGATGGGACAGTGGGTGGTTGAAGTAAAATATATCATTACCTTATCCCAGCCGTTGGGAAGGGGGTAGACAACAACGGTAGGTATTTCATCCATCAGATTGTCGGGAGCACCGGAATGAAGAATTCGGGTGAACTTCCCCATATCCGACCCGGGTAAGTCCTTTTGTTTCTTGTACCAATAGTACATAACACGCATTTGCCATTTGCAGTACGTTGTACTTTCAGATGTGACAGCAATGTGGAATTTTGAATTCCCAGATTTAAGGTAATTTGACTTGTCGTGTCTTTTGAGGTGGGCCGTCATCATAATCGAATTGTAAGTTGTTACGAACAATCCTAGTGAAAGGAGAAGAAGAAATAAGGTTGTTGCGTGCCGCCGCCCCATACAACCTTTTAAGTCTCTAACTCATACAGGGTATTATTACACTGAAGATCAACATAAACACCAATAATCTGACAAGAGCATTGACAAAAAAAAGTGTGTAAGCATTGATTGAGAAAATTTGGTGAGGCGGGAAAGGAATGCAAATGATAAATTAGAATTTTAGAGTATATATATGGCTTCTATATATATTTGGTGAATTGGTTGTGAGATTTTAAAAAAATGGATTAAAAGGACAAATCTCGATATTTTTTTTAAACTGGGATATTGGAGAACCATTGTCAAGCTATTCTCTCAATTTGAAAATTGGTGAAGAACATGTAAACTCTCTGTTTATACATTCAAATCCTTAAGAAGTCTTATTTTTTTCTTTAAATCTACAATTTTGTTTCATTTAAGTTGATATTTTAGTCTCGTTTTGGGAAGATTTGAGATGTTTTTAGTTTGACCAAATCTAACTAGACATGCGCCAAAATCTGTCATGTTAGAGCATCACCAATGGTGTCCTGTTCACATTAAAAATTACTGCCGCATCATCAACGTCAACACCGCTTATGATATTTACCTCTCCAATGCATCACGTATGGACTCATGTAGTGATGATGTGTCAAAAATTAATTTCAACAATGTTATCGGGACTGTCTTTAGATAACATCCTGCTTCACATGCTGTCTAGGAAGTTCCCCACCATACAAAACTGTTCACGGCAGACCAAGTGAACCACGTATACAATTTGACAAGTAGTGGGTGGTTTATTTCCATAAAATATTAATTTTAGATTTAATCTTGTAGATGTTTGTGCCGTACCCATATATTTTCTTCCTACACGTAAATTATCTGTATGAAATGTTAACACTACACATTGGATCAAATTTTTGGGTTCGACCGTCTATTTATATGACATCAAACAACATTCCAATTTATTGATTGCCATGTGTCAAAGTTTATTCCATGTTAACACTGTTGCATTAAAGATGCTCTTATAATTACTCATGCGCACCCCCTCAAGACAGATTTTACAAATTTGAAATCATTTATCTTAATAATAATATGATTAAATGTGCAAGTAATGTTGTTAAGATGTCTAAATTATACAAAAATACTAATCATATTTCATTTATTTGGCGCATTTTTATATCACATAGGGCTAATGCGCCAAATTTATATTTCACAAACGGTTTGCATTTAACTCTTAATCTGCTATAGTCGGTTCAATTTTGATCTGTTTGATTTAAGTCTTTTCTATTTTGATTTTTTTTCCTCTTCCATGTAAAATCAGACTAGTTAGGTAATTGATTACTTAACAAGTATGAAAATAATGAAATGATCAATTGAATTAGTTTCATTACGAATTAGAGCATCTCTATTCATAATCTCTAATAATCAATTTTTATATGATTCTTACCATTTAAATATTATTATGTAATTAATTTTAAAATAATCTCAAAATTTGTTTATGTCTTTTAGTCATCATCTTCAAATAATCTGTTTTTTCTTTGTCCTGCATTAATCTCTATTACATATGCTTTTCAACTAATCTTAAAATAATTCGGATTCATATTTTGATCCCAGATTATTATAGCAAATAATCACATTAAACAATCTACATCACTCAATGATAATTCTCTAAAAAAAACTGTCATGTCACCAATTTAATCTCATAATAATCCTATCAATGAGGATGCCCATGATTACATTAAGTTTCATTACGAATTAAGAACATTTTGATTTGATTTCATATGTATCTTATTTCTACCCTATACTATGTGTCTTACTTAGTTACTTATCCAACCTACGGGAATTATTATGTGTTTCTACTTCTTTTTACTTTATAATACGGAGTATATAATAGTTGTAAGTAAATACGGAGTAACTGACATATTATGAGTAACATATAATCCTAACTCCGTATTATTATATAAAAAACAAGTAGTGATTTGACTACTTTATTACAACAAAGTTATGGAGAAAAATGATACACACGCAATATAAGGTTGGAAGAGATTTTCTGAAAGGGAATAGAGAAGAACGTATTTTCTTCAGTGTAACAAATAACATTAATTAATTCAAGTAATTAGTTTGAGTTTGTTTGTCTTTAGTCAGGGCCTGTTTGGATGGAGTATTTGGAAGGGTTAGTAATGGAAGTGTTAGTAAGTGTTAGTAAGGGCTCAGAAGGGAAGAGAAGTGTAAGTGTTAGACATAATTTTACCTTGTTTGGGAGAGTCAAATGAATGAAGTGTTAATAATGGAAGTGTTAATAATTTTACCTTAACGAGTAAAGAGAAGAGATGAAAAAACAAACCATCAGACTCGTGGGAAAGACATTCGAAGTGAAATGTCGAAGCATTTTATGTTTTTCGGGTAAATGAGAAGGGTAATAATTGTCCAACACCTCAAAACACTCCAAATCGGGGTGTTAAAAAAATGGACAATTGAGGTGTTGGGAAGGTTATTATTAACACTTCCGAACCATTACTAACACTTCTTAACACCTCTGGATTTTTCTCCCAAACAAGTGTTAGCATCAACACTTCCTAACACTTCCATTACTAACACTCCTCAACACTCAATCCAAACAGGCCGTCAAGGAAATGAGCAGCTAGTCAAATAATAGAACAAATTATCACGTATATACAGTACTTTATTAAGAAAATCAACGGGCAATACCCATTATCACCTTATGGATGTTTACCTGGCCTGGTCCATTTAAGTACAAAAAAAGTACGGGATTAATACCGATTTGGTACAAATTGGCCAATTATTTCGTGTCAAATAACTCGTGCCAAAATGTTTCTGACTGACATATCATTCCCTATCAAATCTTTTATGAATTTTGGTGAGTTTCTGCCAAAAATTCTCTATCAATTGCGGTTTTTAAATTTTGTGATTGCATTATTCACTATTACTTGTACCCTTTTGGCCATAAATTTAAGATATGCGGAATAGCCACAAACTTATCCGTTGATACTTATCCGTTGATCTAGCTTGGATTGTCTTAATATTATACGGAGTAATCCGGAAATTGTGTGTGTATACATACACCTTTTAATATAATAACTCATGTCATTAAACCTTTATTTTCCAAGCTAGTTCAATACAAGACCTATTATTTAAATCTGAAGAGAATCGCTCAAAAACAAATAAAATTAAAGTAATTGCCCTAAAAGGGAGTAAAACAATGAAAACATTCCAAAATAAGAGTTGTTGTTAATTTATTCTTCAATAGGAGTTGTCGGTTGATAAATCCGTTTCTTTTACCCGTTATACCCTTCTCCATAAAATAATTAGCTGTATTTTGTCAGGCTCCTTTTCTTCCATCAGACTTTTCTCACGCAACCTCTCCCATCTACTTTATCATTTCGCCTCTCTCCTCCCTAGTCTCTCTTTGTAGTCTTTATCTCCTCCATGACATTTCCAGATTTTTCGAACTCCTGCTCCATCTTGAATGATGAATTTTCCTCCCCATTTTACAATGGCGACCAGGTGAGTCTTGGTTTTTTCTTCATCGTTTTTCTTTCTTTCTTCTTCTTCTTCCCCTTCTTCTTCACCCTTCTCTTAATTCTATTGACGACAGAATCTTATGATTTTGCAGCTTCTCTAAGTTGCTTTGATTATAATCATTATTTTAATTTTATTTTTGCTTCAGTTTTGTTCCCTCTTTCCAGATCTATTTTATTGTTTTTTGCTATTTTCTCTTTCAATACTCGTTATTTTAATTTTATTTTTGCTTCAGTTTTGTTCCCTCTTTCCAGATCTGTTTTATTGTTTTTTGCTATTTTCTCTTTCAATAATCATTATTTTAATTTTATTTTTGCTTCGGTTTAATTCCCTCTTTTCAGATCTATTTATTGTTTTTTACTATTTTCTCTTTCAATTTTCTCTCAGCTTTTGGTCTCTTAGACATTTTATTTGTATTCTAAAATACGTATTACAATTTTGGGAGTTAGTTTAAATCAATATTTTGTAACTTTTCAAAGTATTTTCTAATTTGAATCTGAAATTATCATAATCAAAATTTTAAGATAATTTATATGATATTAAGACAAAAAAAATTACTCCTTTATGAATACAATATTGTTTTGTAATGACATGTTTTTCAATATGAAAGTATTGCTTTGACACATATTGCCATTTTTCATGACACTGACTCCATCAAAATGACAATAGTGTCATTTTTCATGACACATATTGCCACAATAATGCCACGTTTTTCATATAAAAAATGTCATTTTCGCATATTAAGACAAAAAAATTACTCCTTTGTGAATACAATATTGTTTTGTAATGACATGTTTTTCAATATGAAAGTATTGCTTTGACACATATTGCCATTTTTCATGACTCTAACTCCATCAAAATGACAATAGTGTCATTTTCATGACCATATTGCCACAATAATGCCCTGTTTTTCATTAAAAAAAATGTTATTTTCGCATATAGTGTCATCTATATGACACTAACTCTCGGAAGATGGCAACATTATGACATATTTTTTTTATGTTAAGATAGATGACATTAAGTGGTGAGATAGACAATCTAAAACATTATTTTCAGATCTTGGTGCTCCAACAGTGGAGCCAAAGGAGATGATGGCCGGTGCAGACAAAAAAGGGGGCAGTGACACATAATTATCCGACGGCGGCAATAAAGGCGGCGGCAGCAATAGAGATAGCGGCGACGGCATTCCGCGGCAGTCGGTGGCGGAGGCGGAGGCGGCAGTCCGCGGCAGTCGGCGGCGGCGGCAGTCCACGGAAGTCGGCTGCGGCAGTAGAGCCTGGCGGCAGTGGCTAGGTGTGGCATCTGACTCTTGGCACCGGTGGTCGCGCACATGGATAGAACCCGTTATTTTATTGTATTATTCTACTTTATAATTTAATACACTAGAATTTTCATTAAGGGTAGTTCTGTCAAGTCATATATTTTTACTCCTATGGAATGACACGGAACATATAACTCCTACTTTTGCGTTTTGGTTATGTTTTATTATTGTCATCCTAAAACGTAGCCCGAACTCGTATATGACTTTTTAATATTTTATAATTTTACTGTGGGAGAAATACTTTAACCATTACTCCCTATTAGTGACTGTCATTCTCGATCTCTTGTATTTATCATGTCGAGTGATTCATATACGGACAATTAGAGGTGGACTCGGGTCGGTCCGCCCGGTCCGGAACCGGACCGGCCCGGTACTGTTTGGGCTCGGCCCGGTACCCGGTCTTGGGGTCGGTTCGGGCCAACCGGAGGCTCGAGCCCCCTAAAATGCGAACCGCCCCGGACCTAGTTTGGGCCTATTTTTTTTTTTTGTTTTTTCAATTTTTTTTTTGTTTCTACCGGGTTGGGTTGGGTGTTTTGGAGGGTTTGGGGTGAGGGAGTGATTTAGAAAATCAAAAGAAAAAAAAAAATAACATTGAACCGGAACCGGCCCGGCCCGGTTCGTAACCGCCGGCTACTCGGGCCGGTTCCGGTTCCACCGTTCCCAAATAAAAGCCCGGCCGGGCCCAGGCCCGAACCGGAATCGGCCCGGCCTGGGTCCATCCCTACGGACAATAAGTTATCTTCCCATCATATTTATAGAGCCCAGTTAGAACACTTTTACCGTTTTACCTATAAATAATAGGGATAATTTGAGTTTGCACCCCATGTTATTGTCTAAATTGGACTTTGCACCCCGTTTTTGAAACTCTTTGTTTTTGCACCCCAACCCCATATGAGAAGACAAAAATGCCCCTCCATTAACAATTTTGTTGACTTTCAACATATTCCTGATTGAGGGCATTTTGTCTTTTCATATGGGATTGGGTGAAAAAACAAAGAGTTTTAAAAATGGGGTGCAAAGTCCAATTTAGACAATAATATGGGGTACAAACTCAAATTTTCCCTAAATAGTAGACCAAGTGGCTAATTATCCTACTCCGTACTCCGTAATATTTACGGATGGGAATATATTTTTATTATAAATGCGCTGGTCGAGCTCAAATTAAAAGATCGAAAGTTCGAAACTAATTAAAGTCTTTGAGCATTTTGCACGATTAATGATATACTAGTATTAGGCAAATTCTACAATACCTCCCCTCAAGATACAATTGTCTACGTAAATCGATTAAAAGATCACAATTGCACCATTGTTTTTGAACAGTTGAACCATTTAAATATGAATAAATGATAAGATAATGACTTGAAGCAATTAAATATATTATTGGGTACGGTACTCTCATTTATTTATGAGCTACCTTATGCACACTCACACTATTACCCATTTATTCTTAACAAGTTAACATGGTAGCTAATAAAGCACCTTCAAATTTTCAAACCACGACTCGGACGCTTGACTTACTAAGAGGGAAATAATATAATGTTACGTTCTACAAAAACGAATTACTATCTTTTCACTAACTAATTAAGAAAAAATAACTAATGCATGAAAAGAGATAATACGTACCGGTTATTAGAGATATATTTTAAAATATAACATACTATGTAGATTATAATTTCAAAATACAAAGTACATGAAATAAAAAATAACACATACTAGTATACTACCCGGCTCTTTACCAAAAAAAAAAAAAAAAAAAAAAACTCACCCGGCCTGGCTAAGATATACCCCACTTTCCTAAATATAACATGTACGTAGTATAACAACTCCGTTTACTTCATTTTTATTTAAATAATGATGTATTCTTTACTTATGGCTTAATTACGGGGATTAGAAAAATATAAAAGTCAAATTTGAAAAAAAAATACTTTTATTCAATAATTGTTAGTGGCCTAGTGGGGTTTATAATGGATCATCATGAAAAAAGCCATTATCCCGCACATGAATGATAAATGAAATAATTAAAGATAATTTACAACACTAGAGTAGTAATGAAATCATAGTAATTCATGTTCAAGTTTTGAACTTAAGTTATTACAACACTACGTTGTAGTAGTGAATAGTCATATTTGTGTAAATAATTATTATTTTAGTAATATTCTTGTAAAAACCCCATGATAAATCAGAAAACCTTTTTAAATTTGAAGTCAGTTGTTTTAGAGAATTGAAGTCCACTTTTTAATCCATTTTCTCTAGTCTTTAGTTACCCAAAAGGTTGACTTTAATTTTCTGAAGTAATAACTCTCTAGCTAGGCGTTTAGCCGCTTAATTACCCTTTCCCCTCCCTGATGGTAAGGGCGAAAAAACCGCTTATGCATGTGACAAATGTTCATAGAAGAAGGAGAAAATTCTCGAACTATGAGTAAAAGTGTTTGAAAATTTTAAAATGTTGCCGACATGCTTTATTCTCTAAATAAAAGTAATTATGGTCAAGTTTAAAATATATTGCTATGTTTACGATATAACACAGTAACTACTCATATATGTGTAATGAAAATACAACAATATATCCTCTCTTGGAATACATAAAAGTTTTTAGTTTTATTTAAAGCAATTTTCAAGGAGGACAAGAAGATAAAACGGAAATTGAAACGAAATTTTCAAGTAATTACGTCATTGATATACGCACTATCGGCACTAACGCACCTTTTGTTTTGGAGCAGATGGGCGGCGGTCCGGCGAGGAATCTCTTCTGATTTTGTTGTATAGGTGGTGGAGCGGAAAGTTTCCTAGCTGCAGCGAAATCCAAAGGAGCGCGAAGGAATCCAAAAATGAATCTTGCTTTGCGTCGTTTAATTCGTAATTAGGACTATATATTACTTCGTATATATAGGAAGATAAAGTAGAGATGTCGTCTTATCATTTATTTCACGTGCTCAATTGTGTAATAAGTAAAATAATTGATATTAAAATCACTTTTGTTTCCAAGTTAACTAAAATTATTGAAAATAACCATTAATAAAATATTCGAAGTATTTAAATATAATCATTTCATAATGCAACAGATTCGTCCAATTCAACTGCTTCAATCAACCAGCGTTTCATTCATTTTAACAGATTCAACCAATTTTAATGTTATCAAATGAGGTCTAAATATATATATACACTCCGTATATGTTATGTGTACTAGAAAATGCCAATATGATTTTAAGATGACATTAATTTACACATTCAAAGAAAAGTTCTAGTACTACTATTTTAAAATTACACACGTTTTGGATCATTTTTTGGGAATTTTCAATGAGTTAATTATCAAAATAGCAGTACAAATTTTGATGTACTGAGATGTAGAGAGAAGAGAGGTACTCCGCGTGATGTAGAGACTAGAGAGTAATAGCCTAATATATTTAGGAATCTACCTAATATATATTTAGGAAATATATATTTAGGAATCTACCTAATATATATTTAGGAATCTACCTAATATCTATATATGAATTCTTTGTATTTTGGAAACTATTCTATTATAAATATATCTGTCAGGACTCCTATTGGAGTACCCTTTCCCATTATTTCACATGGTATCGAGAGCTCTAGGTTTGTAGATACATTTTTTTTTTCTTTTTTTCAGTTCCCATGAACCTTATTATAGCCCCCGCCACCTCGGGGTCGACTGTCGCCACATCTACGGTAGTCTCTGATCCTTTGAGAATGAGCGCGGCTGATATGGCGCAAATCATCTTCTCCGCGTCGCTGACCACGGTGCTTGCTTCCAGCATACCGATGAGTTCGCCGCTTGCTGCTACCTACGTCCGCGCACCCCACCTTCTTCGCGTCGCTGACCATGGTGCTTGCTTCAAGCGCACTGTTGAGTTCGCCGCCCGCTGCTGTAGACATCCATTCTCTAGCCGAGTACGGTTCGACCGCTCGCACAGCTGTTCCAGAGCGCTACGTCTGTCCCACTCTCTCTGGCGACCCTGGCATGATCCCATCGTCATCTGTCAGGCTAGTTGGCCATCGACCGGGATCCTCTCCGCTGTCCACTTTATTCACTGCTCTTGCACAAGGTATCTTCAGGCGTCTCCAAATTATGGACAATATTTGATGTTTTTCTTGGTCCTAATTTGGTTTCTTGGAAGTCCTAGAAAGAACCTACTTGCTCGTGGAGATCTTATTATCAAATATGTGCCTCCTAATCTTCCGCTGGCGGATATATTTACCAAAAGTTTTTTTTAGTTTGCAATTTCATTTTTTAAAAGACAACCTGCACGTTGTATCTCTCGCACAGTTTGAGGGGGTGTAATAGCTTAATATATTTAGGAATCTACCTAATATATATTTAGGAATCTACCTAATATCTATTTAGGAATTCTTTGTATTTTGGTAACTATTCTATTATAAATATATCTGTCAGGACTCTTATTGAAGTACCATTTCCCATTATTTCACAGAGAAGAAGAGTTGGAAGGCATTCATAGTTAGATTTCTTATTATAGATACGAAATTATAGAGCTAATGTTTTGGTCAAGGTAATTAATCAACTTAATATAATTAATCGAAAATTTTAGGGTATCTCCTCCAGTGAGCTATGTAAGTTGCTTGGCAACCTCAGCTCATAAAAAAAGATGACACTCCATTCTTAAGAACTTCATAACCGACCAGATAGCAATTTGGGGATGCAAATTAAATTGAACTTCGATCAAATAGTGATGAAAAGAGAATAGAATTTCAGCTCAAATCATTGCTTGAAAATGAACTTGAAACTTCTCCGTCGTTTTACCCTCTTAATTTCTACTAGCTGAGCTACGCTCCCTCACCCATCTACTCTCTTGACCTCTGAATTTTAGTATGTATTGGCCTGGGCAGAGGCCTCATTCACTTACTCTTGTGATAGATAAATAGCTCGGTGGATCGAAAATGGAAATTATCCCATCCAATAATCGTGCACTATATTTGATAAAATTGAAAGACATGTCCTAAAAATGTATGCCAGTTAAATGGGCAACCAAACATCGAAAAAGCTTATAGTAAGGTGTTCCATAACGAGCAAGTTGCTTGTTCCCAAAATTTGATCGGTGAATATGTTCTTAGGGAATATTAAAAAAGATTTAAAAAAAAAAGGTGGATATAAGCTTTTTGTTTCAAGAAAACGGAAGGGTGATATTATATACTCCATATATCATGTACCTTCATAGTTTTAGGATGTTTTCTTTTTGACTAAAATTTGTCGGTCTGGTCTGATATGTGTTTAAGTCAGGTCTGATCTGGATCGGTTTGAACTGATCTGGTTTGAATGGCTGATATCCATGTATTTTATAGGGGTGGGCAAAAATCCCGGTCCCGGTGTCCCAAACCGAAAAATCCCGATACCGTTCCGAAACTATCCCAATCCATTTAGAACGCAATTTTTTCATCCTGAACTGATCCCGCACCGATATTGAACGGGACGAGATCGGGATAGCTATAAAATATCATGTCCCGTTTGAAATTAATATGTTATTTTAAATTTCTAATGCTATGTAATAGTCAAACCCAATTAAAATTTTCTAGTCCTTAGTCTCCCTAGTTTAATTTTATCTTATTTCATGTCTCTCTTAGTCTCATTTCTTTTGTTTCTTTTGATTAAAAATTGTTTACTTCTCATTCCAATACTAATCCATAATATATTATTACGTGCGGAATACTATTTATGATGGAATAACTACTACTCCAAATTATAGTGTTGTTATAGATTTAATATTTTCAAAAATAACTATTAGAAAATATATATATATATATACTAGCGGGGTACGCACTACGTGCGAATGATGCCCAACATTTGCACATTCACCTACCAAATTGTTGCGTGCTAATTTTCAATTGATATTTTATTCACTTGTATAAGTCTACATCGGCTTTTTGGGCAGATACCTTCAAAAGTATTCTTGTAACTGTTAAAGTTATATTTGAATTTTTCGATTGATTTGCATTCAAGTTTTTGGATGTACTTCTTAGAATAAAAAGTTTGGTATAACTTCAGCAAAAATGTCCCTAGTTCAATCAGAAAGAATAGTGACATGTCTTCCTTAGATGATCAGAGACACCTAGAACAAAGTGAAAAAGTTGTATTTGTGATTGTGAAGAGTCCATAGGGAAGAGTGGGTTAAATTGAATAATAGAAAGCTGATAGTCAACAATTCTTTAAAGGAGCATAAATAGCTTAATGAAGTCAATAAATAAGTTGAGAGTAGGGAAGTGGCACAACCCTTATGTTATTATCTGGAACTCATAAGAAATAGATTAAAACTTTAAGATCAAAGAACTTGTGTTTTGGAGGATCATTAAATTTCGATACTGGCATGTCTCTGCATAGAAGTATATTTAACTTAAACTATAGTGCATATTTTTAGAAATTAAAATTTTTAGTAGTTTAAATAGTCTTACGCGTATAACTCATATTTATGTATTTATGAGTAGTTGTATTTATAAAAATATGTGTTTTTAGATTGTTCACCTTACTGGTCTAACACATCAACCTGGAATGATCGTATGAATATCAGAGCGGAGAACTTGATACACACACGGTCAGAAAACAGATAGGGAGTATATAATTATAAGTCCTAATATTAAGACATTTCTATACGTATGCAGCAATAATGTTATGTATTTACTGGCCTGGTAACAAAAAGGAACATTCTTGCAACTCTCATTATATTATAATAACATAATAAGGAAGGTTAATGGTTGAGTTATTTAGCATGCTATAAAACTTACAAGAGTACAATACAGATGCATCTCAATTCTCAACTCTCAAGTGCATTAGGGAACCATATATACAATGGCAGAAGAAGCATTGTGAGAGGGAGGGAAGGGGGCAAACAATCTAGTTCAGTTCAGCCAGATTTGGGGTTTGGTGCTCCTAATAATTTTTACCCATGGCCTGCTTGCCAATTGTATCTCAGAATCTTATAGATGATGCTGAGGTCTCGTTGGTTCTCTGCCGACGGATCTTTGGTCCTGAAATAGCTACCAAGATGCATTAAATGAAGAGCGCGTTTGACCAACAAATTTAGGATACTCATAGAATATTCATCGTCATCCAATGTAAGAACCTGTGCGGCTGTGCATAATTTAGTCCAGTTGGCCAGATGGAGCACCTTTTCCATCATTTGCAATGAAGCCAAAGATTCATTATTTTTTTGGCTTGAAAATATGATGGAATAAAGCAAAATGACTCACTAAACTGTCTGCGCTTCTTTGTTATGAAGAAGCAGTCAAACCATGCAATTTTGGACGCGTTTTTCAATATGGGTCATCCGGAAACAGTCTCTCTGTGCTTTAGTACAGAAGTAAGACTGCGTACATCTGACCCCCCCCTTACCCCACCGTAGGTGGGGTAAGTGAAAATGATAAAAAATGATGGCCAGATGGAGCACCTGGTATTGGCCCAGAAGAAATTGAAAGAGATTTTTAGTAGTGCAGCACAGAAGCCAAGCTAAGAACCCGTGCAGTAACCAATGAAGTATATATTTCATTACTTCAATATGTAAATTCCGTGACTTAGATTCCAGAATGTACTGCTACAAATTTCTTGCTTTGGTCAACAAAGAAGAAAAAACGCAAGGATTTGTTGTACGAGATCATTATAAGATTACATTGGGGGGGGGGGGGGGGGGGGCTTTGGCAAGCAGTTTTTAAACTAATTTCAAGAGATGCTATTTTTAATAAGACATGCTATTTACTAAATCATTAATCCAATATAAAAGAGAAATGTTTTCAATGCTTTTATAATGATAAATACTTTCAATACAACACATTTGTAAAACAAGTTTTTTGTTAATTTATATCTTTTATGTCCCTAAGAACAATAAAA